TCTGCACTTACTCCTTGTAGACAGCAGATAGCAGCAGAGAGAGGCTTTACAGGCCACAGGACAGAGGGACAAAAGGCTTCTCAGAAATCCTTTAGCCAGTTATAACATTAAGTGGCAAAAAACAAGTCCTTGGCAAGTCAGCTTCTTAAAGAAACTGAAGAGATCAAACTAACCACTAGTCTCAGGTCTTTCCTGTCATGATTTAGCTTTCATGAAATTGTTCCTGAAGACCCACAAAACCCAAATCAAAACAAAACAATCAGCTGAACACGGTTTGAGGCCAGCAGGGTGGGGTGGTGGTGGTGGTGGTGGTGGTGGCAGCGGGCGGTGGTAGTAAAAAGTTCTCAAATCCCCATCTCAACCACTAAGCTAGGTGTGGTAGTGCTTGCCTGTCAGCTCAGCTACTCTAGAAGCATCAGTAGGAAGATGCAGTCTTGGCTGGCCTGGCAAGAAGTGAGGCTGGGGTAGGTCCCAAAAATAAGGAAAGCAAAAAGATCTGGAGGCATAGCTCAAGTGATAGAACACCTGCCCAGCAAGCACCTGCCCTGGGTTCAAACCCCAGCTCCGCAAAATAAAAAAGATAGAAATTTACTAACTAGTTGTTGCTAGACACATTTGTCCTTAAAAGACCAAACTTGAATCCTGATGGTGAATGAGCTGAGGCAAAGTGAGCAGGAAGTCTTTGATGACATTCCATAGCCAATGTTTTTATTGGCCTAAGTGACCATAGAGAAATCATGCTCATTAAACTGACAGATGCCATCAAGTTGTAAGAAATGGCTAATAAAGTACAGACAGGGTTCAAACAGATCTGGATGAACCAGAAGGATGAGCCTGAACCAGAAAGAGAGCCAAAACCAGTAAGATGAGCTATAGCAGGGACAGCCCCGAATCTAGGTTACAAAAATCTGTCCAACATGCGTTTGCAGAGGGAAACTCTGTTTGGCTAGGGAATGGAAGGGCAGGAAGTCTTTGTGAAAAAATGGGAACAATACAACTGTCCCTTAACAGGGAGGTTGTTATTGTGAAGAGCAAATATCTATACATACCAAGCATCATGCTAAATAGGAAACGATCACAGAAAACACAATGCAAGAAATACATACAAAACTTGTGTTTGCTTGTGTATGTGTACAGAAGTGTGGATGTGTGCTCACTTATGGTGGGATCACATCCTATAACCCCATTTTTTATTGAGCACACCTTCAGTTGAAAGTACATTTAATCTACCCAACTTACCGGCCACCCTGGTTCAGCAGCACAGCACACGGTAGAGTGTCTGCCGTTTCCCTTGTGGGAGTTGTTGACAGTCTGCCTTCTTCACTACAAAGGCTGAGATTTTGTTTGGTTCACAGCTCTGTCCCTGGTGTCTAATGATTGCTGGCACTCAGTTGGTGCTCAATAAATACTGGCTGAAGAATCATTGGAGAGATGCAGGAATAGGACAGAGAGTCTGGCAAGGTGGGGAGGGGACTGGTGGTTCAGTTCTAGTTTTGGGAATGAAGTGAGCAAGCTAGAGGATCCTTGAGCCCAGTGCACACATACACTCTGTGTGGCAGGGCCAGCTGCTGTTGGCCTTGGCACCTACCCTGTTTCCCTGAGCTATGCCCTCCCAATCCACTCCAGAGGAATAAGCCTGTCAGCCTACTACTTTCTTTCTTTTGCTTTTCTTTTTCTCTTGGTTTAGCTCTCTCTGTGCATAACAAAAGTGAAAAAGGGTAGAGGCACATGGCTGGCCTCGAATACATGATATTCCTGAAAGCTGTATTACAGGCGTGTGTGACCACACCCAAATTCAGCCTAGTTCTAGTGTTACTTTGAGAGTTAAAGGAGGGAAGAGCTGTGAAGTATTTGGTGATATGTGTTTAAGTAGACTATAAATCCTGATCAGACAAACCTATAACTTTCTTTGTTGCAATGTTGGTTTTCTTTCCTTTTTATTTATTTTTAATTTTTTTTTGTGGTTCTGGGGATGGAATCAAGGCCTAGAACACATTAGGCAAGTGCTCTACCACTGAGCTACACAACAGCCCTTGATTTTCTTGAGTAACATAGTTGTCACCTCATCTTTTTTTTATGCTGCTGTATTTGTGCTCAGCCATTCTTCCCTGACTGATATGGCTAGTCTGTCCTCCCACTGTGTCCTGCTTGTTTGGGATTTTCTCAAGCTTCCAGTTGATTTGAGCTTTTCAGGAGTCATTGCTATTAAAAGTGCCATCCATCTTTCCAGCTTGGGATCTACTGAGTGAAAAATGGGTGATAATATCTTAGTGCTATCCTAGGTGGACAGCTTTTGTGAATGACCTCACCTGATCACCTCATGCTTGGGAAGAACTCAGGAAGCCCATTTTCAGATGAGGAAACACAGGTTGGGGTAAGTGAGGGTGCTCTACCTTGACTTGGATCACTCGGTCTGGGAGAGTGAGCAGGGTCCCCAAAGAACACTGTTAGTCCTCCCAGTGGATCTGACCCATTTGTACCAGCTATGACTGTCTTTCCACAGGCACACATCTGTTTGGCACTGTGTTTTGGGGCTTGTTAGTGAAAGCCGTGCAGGTAGAATTGGCAGTTGGGCTGTCCCCTCTGTTCAGAACCTCCCTCATGTCTTTGAGCTCCTATCTGCAAGGGCACTGCCAGCAGGAGGCCCTCTGAACAGGTCTTTTCTTCCCTTGTACAAATAGCCAGCTGCTGATTCAGGATTCTCATTTTCAGCTTTCAAGCTCAGGTATTTGGCCAGACCTATCAGTCGTATGAAGTGGTCTGTAATTATTTTAGCTCTGACTATTAATACCTTGAGAGTGATAATCTTCGTAGTTGGTAGGAGTGAACCTAATTATTTAAAAAGTTGTGTTATTTTTAACAGGTGATGAGCAGGGCACATTGGAAAGTAGGCAGCAACTCTTTCCCTTCCTTCATGTTATCTAGATGAAAGTGGGCTGGTGTCATCCTTTTCAGTTCATTGCAGAAGTGTGTAGTCCTCCATAAAATAATCCTATTGATGTGTAAAGTGCTTTGACACCCTGTGATGGAAAGTTTGTACCTTGAAGGAACAGAGGCTTTGGTGGCCATCTTGGGGACACCGAGTTTAAGCGGTCACTCACACCACATGCTGACCTGGCAGGTGGATTTCTCATGGAGGTGGGCACTGAGGAACACGGAGCAGTCTCATAAAACCAGAGGAATAAATATAAAGGAAATACCATAGAAAGACTATCAGGTAGAACTGTTGTCATGTTTCAGCCAGTCTTCTGCATGAAAGACTGTTTCATTTTCATTTTTGAATATGAAGAACATTTTGTTTTTGATGTGCTGGGATTAAACCTGGGGCCATGCACTCTGCCACTGACCTCCAGCCCCAGAACATTCTACAATGTCAGTTAATGGGATTCACCTGGGGCCCTAAGGTTCACTTTACCTCTGCAAGCTGCATTTCTGATCCATACCCTGCACCACTCTCAGGATGGTGTGATACAAAACCTTTTGGAGATGTTATGGGTTTGGGCTAAAGGAATCTTTTTCCTCCTTTTCCTATCAATTTTTCTAGTCACAGAGGCTTTTCTGTAACTGGGGCAGGAAGAATTCCAGAATGGTGGGCAGATAACCTGTGAAAATACGTATGGGGTGGTACAAAATATAAAGTACAAATGTGCGCATATAAAAAGAGGAAATTAATTTTGGTACTTTACAAAACTATATTTGATTTTAAAGAATTATTACTATGTGAATGAATTGTATTTTAATATTTGAGATTTTACAAAATTATTTTAGTGAAAAGCATAATTGAAGCTATCATTTATCATTACACAATGGCAGAACAATGCGATAGTTGTCAGTAGGAAAACGTTTGCCTTCACTGAAGTATGTGGAGTGCTACTTTTTGTAAGCTACCTCAAGCACAGTGGTAATAGGGGCTTCAACTTGCCCTAGAGCTGCTACATATTCATCGAAAGCCTAGCTTCTGTTTTTTTCAAATGTCTATAGTTCTATTTCCAGTTTAAAAATTGCACACTGAACAGGAAAGCAAACGAACTTTCTGAGTAGAAAAAACTCTTTTAATCAACAGAATTGAGAGTCTAGTCTTTCCATTAATTCTTTGAAAACAGTAAATCCCCTGCCCCCGCCCCACCTTGTTCTGCACCACTAAATTGTACCATGGCAATAAAATTGTCAAGCATCCTCTTTAAGTCAGTGTTCCTTCTGATGCTGACCACCACACACTACAGTCACACGGGTGTGACTTTGCCTGGTTGCAGGTAGCAGTTGGTGGTCCATCCAAAAAAGATCTATACATTTTGTAAAGTACATCTCACTTTTTGAAGTGAGGCCGTTTGCTATCATAAGCCATCATGAAGAATTTCTAGTTTGTCTCATCAGAGAGAGACTGCCAACATGGTTGTGTATGACACACCACAATTAATGCAGTGGGGAGCCTCTTGGTCACACTGCAAATTATGACCAATTTTAAACTAAGTTATAGGATCTAATTGCATACCATTTATATATCACAATCTGAGCTTAGCTCTGAAATAGGAAGAGTAGATAATGGTTTCCAGAATATATTGTGATCAAAAGAACCTATCTTATTTTTAAGTGTTCATTTAAAAAAAAGTACAACACAGCTCGAAGCATTAGGTAACTGTGTCCATTGTTACTGATGAAAACTTCCAAAGCAAATAAAAGAACCACGATTCTCTATGTTTACCTTTCACTGGGGGGAAACTTGGCAAAGGGCGGCCCAGAGGCCCTTGGACTTTCTCAGTATCTTCTTTAGAACCTAGGCCTTTCTCTCCTATCCTCAGAGAAAGAGAGACAAATGCTCAGATCCTTTGTTTAGAACACGAAAGTATCTTACAGGAATGACCCCTGGCATTATGGGGTCTCAGTGGAACTAACTTTGGTAAAGATTAATACAGGCATAGAATTAGGCCTTTGTTTTGGAGTTTTTTGGAAGGGGAGCCCCATCCAGGCATCTTGAGTTTCCTGTGAGGCCCACAGGACTTCAAAAGGTTGCATTTAAGATGGGAATCTTTGTCTTGGGAAATGCTGGTGGCTGAGCTTTGACAGCTTAGCACACATTGCCTCATCCTGTCATGCAATCTTTTATCTGACAGCTGAGCAAAAGATTAAACTGGTTTTTTTGACTTTCCTGAGCAATAGCGAATGAACAAATAACACAATTCTGTGATATTTAGCAGGATGCAAATCCCAGACACCGCAATCATGAATACAGTAAAGACAGTCTTTTCTGTGGGTCTGGAAATAAAGCAGTCCACGGTATTGGGACAAGGCCAGGCATTACATTTCACCAGACGCTGCATGAAGAAGCCATTGTACATGATGTAAAAGACATACATGAAGGCAGCCTCGAAGATGACCCGGAAGAAGATGCTGCTGGTGTACGTCCACCACAGCGAGCCCTCGATACGAACTTTCTGGGTCCTGATTTCTTCGATGTCCTTAAATTCATTCTTTATCTCTCCCTTAATGAACTTTCTTTTCTTCTCGTGTTTCCGGTAGGCCACGTGCATGGCCACCAGCAGCGCCGGGGTGGACACGAAGATCAGCTGCAGGGCCCAGAGGCGGATGTGGGAGATGGGGAAGTAGTGGTCATAGCACACGTTCTTGCAGCCAGGCTGGAGGGTGTTGCAGACAAAATCAGCTTGCTCATCTCCCCACACCTCCTTTGCGGCCACCACGAGGATCATGATTCGAAAAATGAAGAGGACTGTGAGCCAGATTTTCCCAATACTGGTGGAGTGCTTGTTGACACCTCCAAGAATACTCTGCAGCGTGCCCCAATCCATCCTGTCCTCTGTGTGGTTGGCACTGGAAAAGACAAAGAACCCAGCATAGGACTCACTAGACTGGACAGAACCCAGGTGATGGACTACTGTGGTATGGCAGGTCAGGATCAGGACTTGCTGGGTAAGCAAAACGGTCCTTATTAGAAGAGGTTGTACAGAAAGAAGCCCCTGGATGATGCCCCATGAGCTGGTGGCCTTCTGTTTCATCCCAGGTAGGAATTGTCCTCACTGATTCATAGCTGCACCCTGTCTGTCACAATCAAGCCCTCTCCTAAACAAGACCCTGCCCTCTCCACAGCCCTGATGAGTCACCTGCTTTCCACCCTTTCCAAGCAGTAATGAATCCTCCTCTCTTGCTTAAATGCATCCTGCTCCCCTCATTTTAGGCAAGTTGCATCCTGTTTGCCACTGGACTCCTGAGCAGGCTCGGGATGAGTGTCTCTCATTACCCACAATTGCTGTTGCTGAACCCCAAGTCTGGCCAAACCAGCTCCATGCCGCCTTGGTCAAGGGGGGCAGCAGAGTCATGGGCAGGGAAGTTAGAGCTTCTCTTAGCCTTACTCTGCTTGAAAAACAGAAACAGTGTTGGAAAAAACAGTGGTTTAGCAGGTTCAGCCCTGACCCACTTAAACCCAGACTGTCGCGGGAGGCTCTTAGGGGACCTTGTTGTCCTGAAAAAGGTCCCACAGCTCAATTTGGTCCTGTCCCCAACAGCAAAGCCTCTGAAAGCAATAGCACTCAGATTTTAACAAAACCATCCCACACTTATGTTCTCCCTCATATGTGCACATTAGATCAAGGGCAAACACAACAAGGGGATTGGACTATGAGCACATGATAAAAGCGAGAGCACACAAGGGAGGGGTGAGGATAGGTAAGACACCTAAAAAACTAGCTAGCATTTGTTGCCCTTAACGCAGAGAAACCAAAGCAGATACCTTAAAAGCAACTGAGGCCAATAGGAGAAGGGGACCAGGAACTAGAGAAAAGGTTAGATCAAAAAGAATTAACCTAGAAGGTAACACACACACACAGGAAATCAATGTGAGTCAATGCCCTGTATAGCTATCCTTATCTCAACCAGCAAAAACCCTTGTTCCTTCCTATTATTGCTTATACTCTCTCTACAACAAAATTAGAAATAAGGGCAAAATAGTTTCTGCTGGGTATTGGGGGGGGAGAGGGAGGGGGTGGAGTGGGTGGTAAGGGAGGGGGTGGGGGCAGGGGGGAGAAATGAACCAAGCCTTGTATGCACATATGAATAATAAAAGAAAAATGAAAAAAAAAAACCATCCCACAGAATCTGACCTTCCATTTCTTCACAGGTGCTTATAAGTAGAATACAGGACATTCACAGAAATAGACATCCACTCATCTAGTCAAAAATATGAAGGGGGGAGAAGGTGGGCCTTATGCCTCTGCTCTTCTCTCTAGCATCAAACACAGACTAGTCCAATTCCTATCATTTGAGAAAAAGTTTCATGTATACCCTATATCGCTGTTTCTAAAATTTTACTTTTAGTTTTTATATATTTATTGATTTTTGAGCCAGAGTCTGGCTATGTTGTATGGACTGCCTTTAAATTCCTGGGTTCGAAGGATCCTCCTCCCTCAGCCTCCAGGGTAGCTGGGGCTACAAGTGTATACCATGGAGTCTTGTTTGCAGCTACCTGTTTTAAAGGTCCGTCTTAGAAGAGGGGTAATAGGGTAGGCTAAGATGGACTAAGGAAGCAAGGCAAAATTGTTCTCAATGTTCAGCTCTGGTCTTGGAACTGCTCTCCTGGCTTCCTGACCCTGGGATGTCACATGCAGCTTTCTACCTGGCTAGGGCCAGTTGCAATGGCTTGGCGCACAGCCAGTTCCAGCAGAGGAGCTGGGTCAGTTCTTTAGAGAAGGCACTGCTGAATCACCCCACTCCAGAAAAGGAGAAGGGGATTTTTTTTACCTTCCCAACCCTTAACCACCTGTGAGCCACCTGCAGGAGTGCCCATCCTTCTCAGAAGTGCCTGTAATTGTATGCTTTTTTCTTTTTTCTGGCAGTACTGGGGTTTGAACTTAGGGCCTCATGCTTGCTAGGCAGGCGCTCTACCACTTGAGCCACTCCGCCAGCAAGTGCCTGTAATTGTGACTGACTTAGATCCATACTATCAAAACTAGGAGGCTAAGTGGGGACACAGCTGTCCCAAGCATCTCAAAGCAGTCCCAGGTAGATTCTAGCCCCAGGTCCTAGAGTGCACTCTTAGGAAGCTGGAAGGTTTGCACCTTCAGCCCAGCTCCAGTACGGGGCACCAAGGGGCTGACGCAAGAGTCCTAAGGCCACTTCACCTGTGCACAGGTGTCCTTCCAGCTGGAGTCGCGCCTGGAAGCGAATTCTCTCAAAACTTTCAAGAAAAAGCAAAGCGCCCCAAACCTTGGCCCAGGTCGGGGCCGTGGCCCCAGGAGCTGCGTTCGGAGGAGTCTGGGCTGTCGCCCTACTTCACCCCGCGCTTTCTTTGCCAAGGCAGCGCCAGGAGGTAAAGGTCAGTTCTTCCCGTGGAGACTCCGGTTTAGCAAACCAAACCGCGCTTTCTTTTCAAGCTTTCGGGGTTAATTTAAAACTTTTGGTGGCGGCAGATAAAGCAGCCGGGCGGCTGTGGGAGAACTGTCTCGGAGGACTATCGGCGACAGCCGCGCCACCGCGCCGGGCCGGCCGGGTCCTCCTTCCTTACACTGTCCTGCACCGCGCGCGGCGCCCCGAACCCCATTTTCAGCTGGGGCTTGTGCCACCGCATCCCCTCCCCAGCGCTGCTGCCAAGTCGCCCGGCTCGATCCCAGACACTGTCCCCACTCTCCCACCCTCTTGCCACCTGTCCCTCGCCCCAGGGCCGCGGGGCCTCGCTGCGTTCAGATCCGGCCTTGTCGTGCCTCGGGTCCCCCGGGGCCGCCGCGGCCACATGCTGTCCCCGGGTGCCCCAGCCCTGGCCGCTACTCGGGCGCCGGCTCACCTGCGTGGAGGGAGCGCGCGGCTGGCGCGGGTCTTGGCGAGAGGACGCGGGCAGGACCGGCTCCGAGTCCGGGACAGCGGAGCGCGCCGGGCGCTGCTGGTCTTCCACACCTGTGCCGGGCAGCTGCGCCTTTTAACCCCGCCGCACACCACGCCTCTTCCCCCGAGCGCTTGAGAAAGTGGCCGAGGGGCGGCTCCTCGGTGCCCCGCCGCCCCCAGCGCCGCCGGCGGGGCGTGCCCGGCCTCCCCGGCCCGCAAAGCGCCCCGGCCCGGTGCTCCATGGCCGGGACCCCGCACCCCAGACTCCAAGTCCCGCGCCCCATGGCTCCGACCCCGGAGCCAGCAGAGATGGAGTCCGTACTCCGAGGACGGACACCCCTGCCCTGTTCCGCGCGTCTGGGGAGTGGGTGAAGGTCAAGGGCGGTTAGTTATTTCCAATCCAATTAGCTCAGGAGTGCCATGGCCTGTAAAGCATTGCTTTAGTAATTTATTTATTTGTTTACTTGTTTAGCAGTACTGGAATTTGAACTCATGGCCTACACCTTGAGCCACTCCCCCAGCCCTTTGTGGAGCGTTTGTGAAGGGTTTTTTGAGATAGGGGCTCGTGAACTATTTGCCCCGGCTGGCTTCGAACCCTGATTCTCTTGATCTCAGCCTCCTGAGCAGTTAGGATTACAGGCGTGAGCCACCACCCGGCACTCGGCTGCTATATTATCGTCATCATTAATTATTATTGTTATTATTATTGTTGTTGTTGTTGTTAGAAAAGCAGGCCTTCCCACAGCGTGAATATACCTGTGCAGGCCAGTAGGTTTCGGTGATATGCAAGGGGCTCCAGCGTAGGGCGCAGGGCCTCTGGAATTTGTGTTCAGCAAGGAGGAGACGCTACAAGTGTTTTGTCTGTTTCTGTGAATTTCTGATTTAAAGTGTGTCAGGGCTAAGACTGGGGGGGCGCTTGGAGGTCACAAGTCTTGCTTTTGCCATGACTGGCCTTGACGTCTCCGCCTGCCTTGGACATGGCGTCCTGCCATCTGCGCGGGCTGCTGGGCCTTGGCCCTGCCAGCGTTCACATCTGGGAAACTGCAAAGTTACTCTTTTGGGGAGAGGGTGCCCAGATTATTCAGAAAGAAAAGACAACACAAGACGCCTGTCACCCCCTCTCTCTCTGTGTGCGCACCAAAGAGGGCACACTAGCAGTTCTTTCTCCACTGAGCTTGATATCTGATCTGAGTCTCAGGTTCCCACCGGGCTGGGTATTTTGATATTTTTGAGGTGCAAGTGGAAGGAAGTGGGGGTTCTCAGGCAATTGGATGAGAAATTAAAATGGCAAGAGCAGGCCGCGTTTGGAGACATCGTGTCCAAAATGGTGAGGCTGGCCTCATCCTACCCAGGCACCTGCTTCACCTGTCCTGCAGCACAGACGTGAGGGTGTGTGTCCTGGTGCCGGGTTTTCTCACTTGGGTTTTCCGAGCAGAGAAGATGGTGATTCATCCTGACAAGGCTCGTCTATGCTCAGAACTGGCTTTCCCATGATTGCCACCATTGAGTGAAGACATTGACTTTTCTTGCAAAGGTGGTGCCCATTGCCAAGGGCCAACTTCTTGCACCGGCCAGTGTGAGCTTTGAACAGAGGTTACTACCCACCTCTGACTCCAAGTACTAGGCTGAGAGGGAGTGTCTGCTCCTGAAGGGGCAAGGCCCCACAACTGCCACCCGTTGGTTCTTTGGGGAAGAGAAGTGCTGAATCAGCTTGTGAGAAATTAGGTTGTAAAGCTGGCTGGGGTGGAAGAAACTTCCTGGGCTTAGGAACACCTTAGGTTGAAGTGACAAGTGGGGTGGGACAGCTGACCAGGGAACTCTTCCTAAAGTTTCTCAGAGGCAGTGCTGGAGTTCCGGTTGGGTTAACATGAAGGAAGGTTCTAGAACCATTGTGAGAAGCTGCCTGCCAAAGATGGAAGATTGGTGAGGTGGAGGTGACTCATTTCTGTAATCCTAGCTATTCAGGAGGCAGAGATCCGGAGGATCTCAGTTCGAAATCAGTCCAGGCAAATACTTAGTGAG